ACATGAAATTAATTAAAGAATAATTTAAAGGTTAAACATGTTCCTGGTTTGGGTTCTGTTGAGCCGATCTGGGTTCTGGACCAGCTGGTTCTGTTGCTGCATTTAAATCTTGAGTCGAACCAGTTTTGGGTCAACGAGCTGCTTTAACCGGGTCTGATCTCCAGAACTGGGCCGTTGTGGGTCACAGATCTGAACATATAAAGCTTGTTCTGAGGTTCTGGTCCTGACTGGTTCTGGTCTCCCCTCAGGTGTACTCTCCGATGGCAGGCAGCGGGATGGGTTCTGGACTCGGGATGGCCTCCATGTCAGGCTACATGTCCGGCGGCGGGACCACCTCGGGCTCCTTCAACATGTCCTATAACGGTACTGGTCTGAGTCCGTCGTCGGTGGGCGGGGTGGGCGGCTCGGCCCAGGCGGCCATGTCGGGCCTGGGCGGGGGCGTGGCCTCCATGGGTGGGGCTCTGAGCCCCTCTGGTGTGGGCCCGGTGTCGGCTCAGCAGGCCTCCATGGGCCTGAACCCGTACGGAGGCATGAGTCCCACCATGAGCTCCGGCATGGCGTTCGGGAGCGGCGGACTGAACCGGACCCGGGACAACAAGACCTTCAGACGCAGCTACCCCCATGCCAAGCCCCCCTACTCMTACATCTCCCTCATCACCATGGCGATCCAGCAGGCGCCCAGTAAGATGCTGACCCTGAGCGAGATCTACCAGTGGATCATGGACCTGTTCCCGTACTACCGGCAGAACCAGCAGCGCTGGCAGAACTCGATCCGGCACTCGCTGTCCTTCAACGACTGTTTCGTCAAGGTGTCCCGTTCGCCGGACAAACCGGGGAAGGGGTCCTACTGGACCCTGCACCCGGACTCTGGGAACATGTTTGAGAACGGCTGCTACCTGCGGCGCCAGAAACGGTTCAAGTGTGAGAAGAAGATGTCGGGGAAACCGGACAGCAGGAAGGAYGCCATGGGGTCCGGGGGGGCCCCGGGAAGGTCTCACCCGGAAGATTCTGCCAAGTCCGCCGGACTTCTGGACTCATCGGTGCCCTCCTCCAGCCAGGTGGCCTCCCCCGTCGGACTGGACCTTTCAGAGGGCGTTGGAGGGGTCTCRGACCTGAAGGTGTCCAGTTCTCAGCTGCTGTCCTCGCTGTCCTTGCCCCCACACTCCATGGCCCACGAGACGCCCCTGCACATCAAAGGAGACCCCCACTACTCGTTCAACCACCCGTTCTCCATCAACAACCTGATGTCGTCCTCGGAGCAGCAGCACAAACTGGACCTGAAGGCCTACGAGGCCCTGCAGTACTCGTCCTACAACGGCGGGGGGGTGTCCGGTCTCGGAGGGAGGACCATGGAGTCCCTGGAGGCCTCGTACTACCAGGGCATGTACCCCAGACCCCTCCTGAACAGCTCGTCATAGCTGCTGCCGGRCCCGGACCCCCTGCATGCAGCTGGACCGGACTTCCTGTCAGACAGGAAGTGTCCTGAACCGGACTCTCCTGCACTGTGACCGAACCGCGACGCAGACGTTTGAACTCTGAGCCAATTAAAACCACACACACACACACACACACACACACACACACACACACACACACACACACACACACACA